TAGAAAATCTCAGGTAGTGAATCAAATCAACAAGGCCAAATGACAAGTGACAGGGAGGCCACATTAGACTGAGTGGTCAGGGAAGGATGCTGAGGGGACAACACTTAAGCAGAGAGCCATGTGACTTGTGGGTAGAAACTCACGGCAGGCAGAGGGATCAGTTTGTGCAAAGGCCCTGTGGCAAAAGACAGAAGCAAAAATACAATTGGTACGGCTGGGTCAGAGACAGCAAGGAGGAAGACAGCCGCGTGTAAGGTGAGGCTGGGGCCAGTGGGGCTTCTAAACCAGACAAAGGAGTTGGGTTTTATCCTAAGTGCACAGGAAATCATCAGAGGCCTTTTATAGTGACATAATCGATTCAGAGATGTGCACACAGTCCTGAGAAACACACAGCATCACAGGCTGCCAAGACCAGGGCTAGGAAGACACAAATGAGGCAACTTTAGGGGGCAAAATCCTAGGACACCCACACTCTGAGCTTCGCGCAAGTGCTGACTCTCAATGGCCCCCTTCCCCTTCCCAAGGCCCTGCGTGGAAGTCAGCTGACTGGAAGTCACAAGATAGGGAGTGATCTTCCCCTGCCTCACCCTACCAGCAAACCTGCTCATCTGACCCTGCTGCGGGAGTGGGAGGGCAGATCAGAAGTGAGAATCTTACTTTAGGCTCCATCCCTGGGGCAAAAGCCACTTCCCATTGGACTAGATGCTTCATGCCCCACCGGCCAGCCTCTTGTAAAGAAGGGACAGACCCTGGGCCAGGAGGCCCTCTTGGAGCAGACGTCTCCTCCAGCTGAGCCATGGCAAGGCAAGGCTGGTGGGGCAGTCTGAGGCTTCCGGTCTCCTAGCCTGGAGAACTTGCGCCCTCAGAGGCCTGGCGGGTCAGGAGCTGGACACCCCACTGCAGAGCCCGCCTTCAGCTCACACCTGAGCGGGGGGGGGGGGGAGGGGGGATGCCAAGCCACCCACTTCAGGGGAGGGAGCTCAGGGACCTGCTCCACCCATCCCCCCGCCAAGCGGCTCCGTAACCTCCAGGCTCCTTTTGACCTCCATCAGCATTAACGAGGAGCAGCCGGCTCACCCCCGGGGCCAAGGGAGGACCCCACTTGCTCCCACCAAGGTGCCCAGGACGGTGGCCCAGCCTCCCCGGCGCCAGCCTTGTGTCTGGAAAGCGGTGCGCACAGTTGTCCCCTTATCCTCGGGGGAGACCAACCCTATAGAGACTGCGCGCTTCCCCACAGGGACAGACAAGGATAAAGCTCGGGTTATTAAGACAGAAAGCTTACGTTATAAATCAGGCACCGTGAGGGATTAACAACAATTAATAACAACTAATGTAAAACAGCTATAACAACATACTGTGGGAAACGTGGTGTGAGCGCGCTCCTGCTCTCTCCCGGGCCACCTGCGGGCACCTGCGGGCACTGCGCTCACCCTGCCCCTGATGACGTGAACGGTGAAATGCCCGCGTGACCCGGCGACGGGAGGCTCGTGACGTAGGCGTGACGCAGCGTGAGGCTGCTCGTGACCTGGCACACGACGTCAGAAGGAGGAGCACCCGCTCCTGGTGGCGGTTGCCCGGGCAACCAGAACGTGGCCAGCCCTGGAGTCGGCGCCGCCGCGCCCTAACCCGCCCCGGGTTGGGGTGGGGGAGCGGGGAACGGAGGGCGCTCGCCGTGCACTACCCCGCCCCCAGCGCCGCGCTCCCCCGGCTCTCCACGGGGTACCCCAGCCGGTTTAAGGACCTGCCCAGCACCTGGCGTGTGTGCGTCTCTGGAGCCTGCTCCCCAGTCCGGGTGGTGACCCAGCGCCAGGCACAGCTTGACGCTCAGAACAAGCATCGGAGACCTGGTTAATGCAAAGCCCTGGGGCGCCCCTGATTCAGTGGTGGCCTGAGGCCTGTTTGCATACATGCTACGGCCTTGGCGGGCGTTAAAGTTAGTGGGCCGCAGAGCTTGCGGCCAGGTGGCCCACCCCCTCCCCCAGGGCTTCTGATGCAGCAGATTGGGGGGCGGGGCGGGGAGGGTGGAGGCCAAGGATCTCTCCTTTTAACAATCAGCCAGGGGATCCCGAGGCGGGTAAGTCAACTTTAAGCAAACACGTGGTAGCTAGGATACAGGCAGGTGGGTGATCATCCCCTTGTACAAACAAGGAACCAAGCTGAGACCAGTGGGAGCCCAAGCAAGTCACCCAGCCAATAGGGAGCAGAACTGGAACTGAACCATAGTTTTAAATATATGCTTCTCATATGGCCAGGCATCTGGGGTGGAGCAGAAGTCCAGCAGCCAACTGCTCTGTTCTGGGCAGCTGGGGACTGACGTGTGTTGTAATGTTTCCACCTGCAGGTGGCTGGAGAGCTGGAGAAACCAGCAGCAGAGGCAGCAGCGAGAGGCAAGAAGGAAATACAGAACTTTGGGCCCGAAAGGGCTGAGTCCAGCTCCTGGCCTCCATCTGCCAGACGTGTGGGGCCCCAAATTGCTTAAGGTGCCTGAGCCTGTTTCTTCATCTGTGAAGTGGCTGAGGTACCTGTCCTGCTGGGATGCCGTGATAGGAGAAGGGAATGTGCGGGGAGTATCTGGCACATGGCAGTTCCCCGTAAATGGTCCCTGGGAGGACAGCCCTGGGCTTGAAGTCACTGCCGCAGAGGTAGAGTTGCCAGGTAAGATCCAGCATAAGTGTTACAGCTGAATTCCGGATAAACGATGAGTGATTCCTGTAAGTGGAAGTATGTCCCAAATATTGCACAAATATATGCATACAATGGGATATTAGGCCACAGAAAGGAATGAAGTGCTGATAGGTACTACAGCCTGAGTACACCTCGAAAACATACACAGTGAAAGCAGCTGGTCGTAAACGATCACATACTGTATGATTCCATTTGTGTGAAATGTCTAGGTAGGGTGAACCTACAGGGAGAGGGAGTAGGCTTGTGGCTGCCTAGGGCAATGGAGGGGAGAAACCGGGAGTGGTTGCTAATGGGTATGGGATTTCTTTTGGGGGTGACTGAAGATGTTCTAAAATTGAATGCAGTAATGGTTGCACAACTCTGAATATACAAAACAAACAAACAAACAAAAAACCACTGATTTGTGCACTTACTTACATGAGTTAACTGTACGGTATGTGAATGCAATCTCAATAAAGCTATGTATTTACAATCACAGAGGCCTGTCTAGCCTTAGTGAAATGGCTTAGCTTACTGGCTGGCAGGTGGGAGAGTGATTTGAAGGCAGAGTAACCTTGCTTACCAGGCAGGATATTTCCACAGTGAGCTTCCTCGAAACCTCTCGTTGCTCTCATTGCCAGAATGGGGCCTTCGGGGGCCACCTCAACCCACCCCCTCCCCACAGAAATCACCAAAATGGACACAAAACACAGAAACCAAAATGATCACTCCCAGGCTCGTTCCTTACAATCGCGCTTCACACTTTTATTGTTAATTTTCTTCACATGGCAGATACAGAACCGTTCTCTTCAGTGATCCACACCCACGCCCGAAAACTACCACTGACCAGGAAACACCAGTCTTTAGAAGACCACCCCTGTCTTCATGATCGGGACCCTCACAGCCCTTTCCGCTAGTCTGAGAGGTTCGAAGGCTGACCGGCACGTTTGCACATGCAAAAATGAGTGTCCCCCAGCCCCCCACAACATTTTCTGGAATTCACCATCAGTTGAAGGCGACTTTCGAAGTTTTGGATTCATGAGCCTTCCTTGCTGCTGAAAAGGGGAACCCTCAAGAACTGAGAGGCTGGGGTACAGTTCATGAGTGTCGACGTTTATGGGACAGAATTGTATCGTCAGGGTAAGGAATAGCCACAGCTTTTCATGCCTGTGAGGGTTGATTTTAGGAGTGGGCAAAAGGATGTCAAGCTTATGGAAATTGAAAACAAACGATGGTTTGGAGCTGGGTGGCACGTGGAAAACTGTGAATGGAGGCCAGCGATCGGCACTGTTCTGCCCATGTGAGGGTCTCGCGAGACCTTCCTCCCAGACCATCATCAGACCCTACACTGCAGCCAGTCGACTGATTAATTAAATAACACAAGTTATAAAACTTTAAAAAGGGGGCATTTACAGTCAGGGACATAAATACGTGCTTTTAAAAGTGTCTACGTACATATTTACAGAGTTGCAAGATCAACCATAGTAGCCCTGAAAAAAAAGTCCCTTTTTGTGTGTGACCACTCACGTCCTTCCAATGGCTCTCCTTCTCTGAAGTGGGCTTGACCTAGGTTCAAGTCCCATGGCTGTGGGTTCGATACATCACGACTGAAAACAGAGCTGAGAAAACAGCGCCGGAGTGGTCTCAGACATCCGTGTCTGGGGTCTGCCCCAAAGGCACAAAACCCAAGACCCTCACTGAACTGGGTCCAGACTCCTAGCTCAGCTCACCCGTTTCTCCGAGACGTGGACTGCTCCTGTGCAAAGCAGGAGCCGGCTCCGTCATTCCCTGCGAGGCGACTGGTGGCCTCTGGAAATCTCTTCTTCTCCCCCCTGTGCTTCTTAATCCTCCAACTTATTTTTCATTTCCCAATTTTTGATTCCCTTTTCAGCTACTCTGAGGAGGTCAGCCGCTAAAGGTGTTGATGGTCCCACCAAGGGAGGCAAAAGCAGCACCGGGGAGACCTCCCTCTCCCCCCACATGCCGTCCCATCCCCCGCCTCTCCCAAGGGAGGAACCGGATCTGCAAATGGGGACGGGGACTTTCTCCCGCCAAATGGACCGACTAGAATGTTAAATCTGGAAAACGACCCAGCTAGCAGCTCAAGCAAAGAAGGGAGGTTTTCGAAGTGCGCAGGCCAAGGGGGTCGATCGGCGAGGCTCCGACGCGTCCACACGCCACTGATTCCCAGACATGGTGGAAGGCTAGGGCAGGTGGGGTGGTTAGAAGGGAAACTCGGCCTCCTCCTGACGGCCTTGCTGGGACAGGACTGGAGCCGACCCCTGAGCCAGACCACAGTCCCCGCCATGGCAAAAGACAACTCGAGAAGCAAAAAGCAGGATCAAGGAGCTCTTGAAAAATTGCATAGTAGGAGAGGCCCCACCCCAGCAGGAAGGCTGAGCTGCAGAACACGGTCCCGGGGGCTGCACCCAAGTGTCGTCCATGGTGTGGAATCAGCTGCCTTCCTGCCTCCCTGGGGTTTGGGACCCTCGTCTGAAGACCACACGCACGCACGCGCACACACACGCACACACGCTCCCTTTCTCTCGCAGGCTCATAAAAGTGGAATAGGTCGGTACTCCCTGCAGGGCAGAAGGCCAGTCCCTTTGGCTTCACTGATTCCAGGTCACTTCAGGTGCTGAGGAGAAAAAGAAAAGAAAAATGGTAACAGTGGCCACATACTCAGTGCCTACCCTGGGCTGTTGAAGCATTACCTCACTTAATTTTTCCAATTAAAGGATTGACTGGGGATGCCTGGGTGGCTCAGCTTTTAAGCGTCAGCCTTCGGCTCAGGTCATGATCCCAGGGTCCTGGGATCGAGCCCCGCATCGGGCTCCCTGCTCGGCAGGGAGCCTACTTCTCCCTCTCCCTCTGCCTGCTGCTCCCCCTGCTTGTGCTCTCCCTCTCTCTCTCTCTCTCTCACAAATAAAATCTTAAAAAATATCTATATAAATGAAAGATTGACTGTAGTACACCATACATACAGAGGAAAGCACAGCCTGATGAATGTTCACAGTGAACACACCTGCATGACCCCTTCACCCCTAGCCCAGGCTCCCTTCTAGGACCGCCGCTAACCCTCACCCCGCAGAATAAACACACCGACCTCTATCACCATAGATTGATTTTGTCCATTTTTAACTTAAGTAAATTGTGTCTGGCTCCTTCCGCACGACACCTTTGTGATTCATCCCTCCTAAGCCTGTGCGTGCAGTTGCGTCCACCTCCTTGCTATGGGAGTCTCCTGGAGGATCGTGCCACCTTCATCTGGCTGGTCCACTGCCAAGGACAAGTGGGCAGTTTCCAATTTGGGGCCACCATGAGTCATGCTGCCAGGACACGCTTATCTATGTCTGGAGGACACGTATGGTGCACATGTGTGCATAGTTATGCCGAGCAGAAGTGCTGGGTGGTAGGGTGTGCACGCATAACATGCGAACTCTCCCATGTGTGGGTTCTGGTGTGCATGTGCACACGTTCCCGCTGAGTGTCTCCCTAGCGGTGTAACTGCTAGGTCCAGGGGATGCGTATGTTCAGCTTCAATCAATCCTGCCAAAGTCTTTGCCATAGTTAACTACGCTACCACCTGATTTCATTGTAATGCTTCCGACGGCCCTCACGGCAGGTGACACAGATCCCCAGATCCCCATTTGCGTGGAAAAGAGGCTCGAAAGGACAAGTGACTTTTACAAGATCAGGCTGATGACAAGTGGCAGCCATGGGACTTGAACCTAGGTCAAGCCCACTTCAGAGCCTGTGAGTGCTTTCTGTTATGGGGCAACGGCTTCGCCTGCATGCCTCCTCCACAGAAACCCCACCCACAGTACTTGACACAGAGCCAGGCACCGGAGTCAGGACCTAATAACATTTGCTGCACGGGGTTGAAGTTGAGCATGGCATCGTGCTGGGCCACGTTCAGGCGCTCTGTTCTCTCACCCCATGGACCTGGTCATCATTACTGTAACTGCCACTCCTGCCGCTAACCACTATTATTATTACTACACCACTACTGTGATGATTTACAGCAGGCTTACGGCATACCAGGCACTTTCCTAAGGGCTTTTCATATACTAACCTGTGCCATGCTTATGGTATAACCCACAAGACAGGCATTACTGGTAACCCGTTTCACAGACAGACAAATTGAAACACAGAGACGTGAAGTACCTACCAGGATTATTGGAACCTGGATTCACCTCCAGAAAATGCGCACTTAACCACTACACTAGGTCCATTCCAACACCGCCCCCCCCCCCGGCCGAAATCTCTTGATGGGGCACAGTATACGAGGGTGCCTTCAAGAGAGGGGGCCTCCCTTCCCAGTGGAGGCCTGCATGTGCCCTGAACGAGCCGGGGGAGACAGAAGCCAGCCGTGCAGTGGCCTGCGTTCCCTCAGCCTGGTGTGGCTGGGGTGTGTCACCTGTGGGTCATGGAATGGGATCCCCAAAAGGAAGGCAGCTTGTCAATCCCTAGCCCGGGGGCAGCCCTCCAGGGTGGGGACCCCAGCAGCAGGGGCTGTGGGCTGGACCACTGGGGCTGGAGCCGAGCAGAGGCTGTCAGAGGGGGGTTCTCTTATCACCCCACTCACCCTGCTCCTGGGACCCCAGGAGAGGGCCAGTTTTGGGAAGCCTGCCCCAAGGGAAGAGGCAGCCAAGGGGAAGACCACGAAGGTGGCCAGATGAGTGAGAGATGCCAGTCCCTTCCCTGGACAGCCCCCTCAAAGACCCCGGGGCCCAAGCGTGCTGGCCTCTTGCAATGGAAACAGAGGCACCGAGGACGTGCGGGGGCAGTTTCTAACGGGACCAGACGGGGTGGCATGTTTCATGCCGAAAGGTGAACAGAAAGCCCTGGGCTTTGTCCACGACATCCATAAAGCCAGAGAAGGGAGGCACACCAGGAGTCAGCGGCAGAGAAGAGGCTAGTTCCTCGCTGGGTTCAGACTGTCGGTAAACCAGCCAGAGCCTCTAAGCCGGCAAGCGCAGCAGGGAAGGTGCAGTCCTGGGGCCTGGGCGCTCCGACGACAGCACTCTTTCCTCAGAACAGACCCCATACGCACAGACAGTTTTGCACACGATTTCGGGGAGGGGGGCAGCATGGACCCCTTAGAGCCCACCATCCATTCTGGGAGTCAGACCCCTCAAGTTCTGCCTCCAGTTTGGCCGCTTGCCCCTGTGTCTCAGTTTCCCTCCCTGTAAAATGGGGATTTTGATGCATACATCCTTCCCGTGCTAAAATCCTTTGTCACAGCACTTAAAAAACCATTCTGTAAACATGTGCAATGCTGCTATGGACTGAACTGCCCCCCACCAATTCATATATGGAAGCCCTCACCCCCAGTGTGACAGGATTTGGAGGGGGGGCCTTTGGAAGGTGATTAGGTTTAGATGAGGGTGGGGCCCCCATGATGGGTTTAGTGACCTCACAAGAGACACCAGAGCCTCCTCTCTTCATTACTGAGGACACAGCAAGAAGGTGGCCCCCATAAGGCGGGAAGAGGGTCCTCACCAGAACCCAGCCATGCAGGCACCCTGACCTCAGATGCTCAGATGCCCAGCCTCCAGAACCGTGAGAAATAAATGTCTAAGCCCCAGAGTCCGTGGTATTCTGTTATGCAGCCCGAGCTAAGACAAACAGTATAAGTAAGGTGTGGTTTTTTTAAATCATTTTATATATGTGTGTGTGTGTGTGTGTGTGTGTGTGTGTGTATATATATATATAAAATCAGTCACAGACACAAATTACATTGGGCCTCTATTCATCTGAGCACCTTGCTTAGGAAGCTGCACGTGTTTGGAAGTAAGGGAAGAGAACGCATCCTTCCAGGATCATGCCCTGGCCCCCGGCACAGAGCCTGAATTAGCAATACTTGGCAAACACCACACCGCCATCAGAGACTACGGTGGCCGACGGACACAGCCCAGTCCGCGGCCCAATCAGTCCAGGTGTGCCTGGCTCTCCCTCAGGCTGCAAAGGACACCTGCTCCGGGCTGGGAGCCACACCCTGGCGCCCAACAACACAGACGTCCACATGGCAACGGCCACCACAGGGAGGGGCCTGGGCCATGCCCGGATCCAGAATTGTCCTGGTGCTGCCTCCCATCGTCCAGAAGACGCCAGCCCTGCCTCTCCTCTCCCGGGCCTTCCAGTTCTGTGCTTAGCCAACATTTCAACTCTGCTCCCCAGCATTCCCGGCTCAGGGGCACCTGCCCTCTCAGGAGCCTGCTCTGGAGACTCAGGCTAAGTTCTGCTCAAGACAACAGAGTCCCTGGGGAAAGTGGATTTTGTTTCCACGCCCCTCCCCGATCCCCAGAGAAATAAAGCCCAGAGCCCAGAGCCTCCAGCAGCTTCAGGAAGGGAGGCATGAGTGAGCCCTCCAGGTAGCAGGGTAGGCGGAAGGAGGAACATACAAGATGGAAGACCCCAGGGGCGCCTGGGTGGCTCAGTTGGTTAAGTGACTGCCTTCGGCTCAGGTCATGATCCCAGGGTCCTGGGATCGAGCCCCGCAGGGAAGCCTGCTTCTCCCTCTCCCACTCCCCCTGCTTGTGTTCCCTCTCTCTCTGTCTCTCTCTCTGTCAATTAAATAAATAAAATCTAAAAAAAAAAAAAAAAAAAAGATGGAAGACCCCAAAGTTTCAGAGGTCATCCCATTCTTGCCCGGAAACAACTGCATTCTCAACCTGAACAGCCCTGGCTCCATTAAGCAGGCACCCCCACACTTGGGGGTGTCCCAGAATCACGGGGCCATCTGCTAATACAGATTCCCAGGCCCTGCACACCAGGATGCTTGTTTAGTAAGTTTGGAGTTGCACACTGGGGTCTGGATCTTTAACTGGCACCCCGATGTACTGGCACGTGGGGTCCTCCCATCGTGGTCTCAGGGACACAGTGACAGAAGACATGCCACATCACCAACAAAGAAGCCCAGGCCTGCTTGAGCTCACTGGCCAAGCCCAGCGCCCCTGAAGAGGGAAAGTCCAGCTTCTATGAATGAATTCAGGTTTTACCATCAGAAAATCTAGAAAGAGACTTCTGGTTCAACTAAATTTAAGTTTTATATTTTGCAGAATACTATCACTTTCACTTTCAAACACATTGAGGGAATAAAGACTACACAATGTTTTCTGGGCTTAAAGCCTCTGAAGGTCTCGATTAAGTGCTGGCTGCTGTTTGTTCCTGCTATTCTTATTCCACAGTCACAGCTAAATGCTAGTGCTAAAACAGCTAGTAATAGCTAAAAGCTGGTGCTTTCTGTGCGTCAGGCACTTTCTACCTGCTTTGCCTACATGTGACACTTGTAATTCTCGTAATTCTCACAACCTGTGAAGTACCACTGTCATCCCCATTTTACTGATGTGGAAACTGAGGCTCAGAGAGACTGAGTAACTTGTGGAGGTCCCATAGCCAGGAAGTGGCAGAGCTGGGGTCCACACCTGCCTGCAGGAAGGCCCCCGTGCCCCCCTCCGGCACCCAGGCGATCATGCCCACCCTCTTCCCTGCTTCCCAGGCCACCCCAAGCCCCAAGCCCAGCGCTCCTCGACCCCCAGAGCCACCCGACCAGCGCCAGAAGCCGCTCCACCCTCCTCGTACCTGTCAGGGAGCAGGCGAAGGATCTACTCTTTGAAGAGGGGTCCCTGGAACTGGGCTGCGGCCGTGGCCTTGACATTCCTACACTGCCTGGTGACGTACGGGGCGGCTGGAGGAGGGCACCGGGATGCCAGGCGGAGACTGTAGCTGTTGGGAGAGGAACAACACACACCATCAGCAGGCCCCGCCCCCGGAGCCCCGGACGGCACCTTGAGGCCCATGGAATGTGGACTTTAACGACCCGCGTGAGTTCCACCGAGCTCTGTCCACCACCTTCCCTCCCCTTACAAGGGACGGGGCGAGCGGAAGCATCCCCCAGCCGGGTTCTGCGACACTGCACTGAGCAGGGCTGTCCTGACGACCCCCATAGGGGGACAGGCGAGCTGGGAATGGAGCCCTGCCGTGCAGACAGCAGCTGTACTGTGCTCCCACCTGCGTCCCCAGGCAGCCCCCTCCCCGGAAGCATCTGGGGAGGTTTCTGGTACCACATTACATCCATCACCTGCAGTGGGTCTCCTCCAGGCCACGAGCTCTGCCCTCGGCCCGCTATCCCAGCCTCACTGCACCAAGCACTTTCATTTCAGGAATCTCTGAGGGGGTGTGAGCCCGGATCCTGTGACACAATTTGGCCCTCCCTTCTACCAGAGCCCATTAAATGAGTTTTTTGTGTGTTTTTTTTTTCCCCCAGGAAAGCATTTAAGAATTGTTTAAAAGATAGGTAACCTAGACCATTCCTTCACCTAGCTAACCCGGACTCATCTTTCAGGTCCTGGCTGGGATACCACCTCCTCCAGGAAGCCTTCCTTCTTTAACTCCTGAATGGGGCAGCCCTCCTGCAGGCTCCCACTGCCCCCTCGTACTTCCCTACCACAGCACCTGTTACACTGAATCACAACTGCGGGATAATGTATCTGCCTCCCTCACGGGCTGTGAAATCCCAAGGTCAGGGCTTTTGTCCTACTCACTGATGCTTCCCCATCTTAGCACAACAAAAATAAATAGTTGCTCAATGAGAACAACACGTATGCTGGAAATGTGCTAAGTATTTACATATACCAACTATCCTACTCTACGTACACCTACCAAGGCGGATATTTTATCAGCCCTAACTTACAGATGGGAAACAGGCCAACGGAGGCTGAGTAACTTGTCCCAGGTCCCAAATCTGTCCCCCAGACAGAAGAACGGAAGTGAGCAGGCCCTCCGGTCAGGAGAAGAGGAAGGTGAGGTGGGCGGGAAAGCAGGAAGGGTGAACACTCGCGGGAACCTCACCTGTATCAGGTGTTGGCTCAGAGTCCGCTGTGTCTGAGGGAGCAAGAGACGGGAATGGGGCGAGTCTCAAAGCTGACACATCAGGGCTTAGATCAGTGGTTCTCAACAAGGGCAAGCACTTCGCAGTGTTTGGAGACATTTTTGGTGGTCCCATCCGAGGGGAGGATGTTGCTACGGCATCTAGTGGATGGGGTCAGGGAATGCCGCCAAACATTCCACAATGCCCAGGACAGCCCCCATGACAGAGAATGATCCGAAACGGGAATAGTGTCCAAGTTGGCAAAGGTAGCGATCGAAAAACACCTATTTCGATAAATGAAGTAAGTGAACATATAAACAAACAAACATATAAACAGACAAGTAAGGGCCTGGCTCTTGGTCAAGGTGCAGGGCTGCCCCTGTGTGAATTCCTCCCAATGCTGTGCAATCAAGGTCTGTGGTCAGCGGCTTCTACTAGCTGAGCAAGATTCAAGGCAGAAAACTAAAGACAACCCCATGCTCAGCGGCAAGCCTGAGCCCCAGATGGACCACCAAAGTTCCAGAATCACAGAGCCCAGGAGGTGGCCTGGGGGCTGCCTGGGACCCCAATGTGAGCACAGCCCCTTGGCCAGCCGACCCAACTGTGGGAGGGACAGCCCGCTCTGAGGCTGCCTGGAAACTTGGGACTTGCATGCCCCTGTCCTGCTGGGGAAGAAAGGGCAGTCTCAGCACACTGCAGGTCCCCCTACACTGTCCCGTCTGCAGAAACGTCTCTAATGGAGTGCATGCAGCAGGGTGAGCCGCAGCTTTGAAGACAGGCAAGCCCTGCATCGTCAATTTCTACGTCTCCCTCTCTGTTGCCAGCGTTACACATCTTTTAAACACTCAAAAACCAGATCAGTCAAACAAAGGTAACCCCCCTGGCCTGCCGGCCCTCTCTAGCCGTCCAGCATTTCTCTGCTCCCTTGGGCGCAGGCTCCTGCAGCCGCGGCAACCACAGCCACTTCCACTACGGGGCGAGCCTTCTCCCCAGCCCTGGGTATCCGTGTGGTCGGAGAGCTCATGATCAGCGGCAAAGCCCCCAAAGGCAGGCTCCTCTCACCAGCCCACGGCACATGGCTTGGCCCAGTGGGGGCAACCCCAGCTGGCATGCACACAGCTCTTGTAATTCCCAAGTACTTTCTCAGCTTATCTCTGGACCCTCCCCTCAGCTCAGGAGGTGGGGAGAACAAGCACTTTTTATACCCATTTCACAGATGAGGACACTGAGGCTCAGACAGATTCGGAGACTTTCCTGGGGGAGCAGAGCCCAGGCCTTTCAGCTCCGTGGGCCACCATTTCTGGGGAGACACCCGGTCACCACCTAGGTGTCTCCTGTTAGGACTAGGGCAGTGATGTCCAGCAGGACAGTTTCCTTCCTGACCACGAATCCCCTCCTGTGGTCAGAGAACTCTTGAGAGCCCAGTGGTTCCCTGGAGCGGAGATGTCAGGCGCTGAGGAACAGCATCTGTGGAACCAGATATTTCTCCAGTTCTCAGTACAGTAGTAGTTAACGCACAAAGACCTGATTCTAAGTTCCTAGCTGTGTGAGCTTGGCAAGTCAGGGGCCCCTCTGGGCTCTGGTTTCACCATCTGCAAAACAAGAGCAGTAATTTCTCTGCTGGGTGGTTGTGCTGATTAAATTTAGAGGAAGCTCTCAGCACAGGACATGCCAGCACTCGAGTATCCACCTGCACGGTGCTGGCACGGAGGCGGTCGGTGGGGAGGCAAGGGGCCAGCCAAGTGAAGGGATGCCAGGGGCTGTGACACATCCCGAGGCAGCGGCGGCATGGCTGTCAGTCCCGATCCTCACCCTCGCTGGCTGTGTGGCCCAGGGTAAGGCCCTCCCTGCCTCCTAGGCTCTGAACCCCGGCCTCCTCAACTGTAAATAGAGGCCCTCCCTGCCGGCCTGCCGAGGCAGAGCTGGGCTGGGCAGAGCCCGGGGACCGGGATGGGAGGGCACTTTGCCTTCCAAGAATTCAGCACATGTGGGATGCTCCCAGTGGTGATGACACCAGCGGGTCAGAGCAGGAGGGCAGCCAGTGCCCTCCCTCCACGGGCCTGGTCGAGTCTCCCATGAGCTCCGCCCCTTAACCGGCCCCTTCCCCCACCTGTTCTACGGAAGAGCAACCTGCCCCTTCCCCAAAAGCACACTGGATCATGACGTACCCCGTCCTCAACTGTCAATCCCGGGCTCCCAGGACAGTGACCATGTTCAACACACAGAGGCCGGCCCCCCACCTCCCCGCCCCCTCGCTGCCTGCCCCAGCTGCGCTGGGCTCCCTTCAGCGTGTCCACGCATGGCCCTCTTCCTGGCAGCCCTCAGTCTCGACGGACTCCAGAGCAGGATGGTTTGCCTTTAGCCAAGATGGGAAGACAGCAGGAGAGGCTTCAGAGTTTGAAAAGGATTAGATTTGAAGTGTTTATTCGACCCAAAAGAGAGGTCAAGTGGGTGGCTGAAATGGAACGGATGAATCTGGGGTTGCTCAGCATCTGGGTGGTCCGGATGGCTCAGTAAGGGGAGGGACCCAAGACGGGTTGGGGAGGGGCAGGTGGTGATGTGAGGGAGCCCGGAGAAAGCGGTGGCAAGCCTGTCCAGGGAGAGTCCGCCACTGCCAAAGGTCAAGGAAGCCAGGAAGGAGAACCACAGCGGTGTTCAGCATGGGCCCAGAGCTGCTGGTAACCATGGTAACAGCAGCCTCCAGGGCATGGCGGAGACAAATCCCAAGTGAGTCCCAGAGAGGAGGATCCAGAGAGCTCCCTCAAGGAGAGTTGGGTCAAGGGAGGCCTAGAGGGGAAAGGGCTTGGGAGGGGAGGAGGCCAGGGGCTCTCTGGTCCCCACAGGAGGTCTCCATACCCCCCGCCGGGCTGCCAGGACATGCTGAGTAGAGTCCCCTGCCTGCCTGTCCCTCCTTCTGCAGGAGTCAGGAGGGACGTTCTGGAACATAGTCCCCAGAGCTGGTTTGGCCACACAGGAGTCTTACACAACTCTCCATAAATTCTCGGAGTGCAATTCATTTGAAGCCCGTGTCTGATGTTCTGCACTCTTGCCAGAGGTGAAGGGAGAGGCAAAGTGTGTGGGAGCTGGTGCCGAGGTGGGACAACCCGAGATGCTGCTGAAATTCCCTGGAGGCTGGGTGAAGCCCCACAGGTCGGGGCTGTGGGAGTCACCACCTGCTTCCTGGCGCCAGCCACCGGCCACCTCAGGATTGGTGGCATCTTTGAAGGCTCCACCTTCCCCAAGCAGACAGCCCCTTCCATTCCGGGGAGCACCCCCCCCCCCGCCCTGCCTCAGATGAGGCCCCCAGGCTGGGCTTCAGAGGCAGGGCAAGTGGCCCAACGCTGGGATGCAGGAGCCTGAATTTTAGCCCTAAATCTGCTGCTGACTTGCTGTGTGGCCTCTGGAGGATGCCTCCACCTCGCTGAACCAGAACCATCCCACCTATAAAATGAAGATGTCAAGCAAGGAAAATTATGCAATGGTATCATTTTGAGCACCTGCTATGAGCCCAGAGCTACTTCAGGTGCTTAATGGGAGCGCCTCAAATATTCCCAGCAGCACTTGAGGCAGAGACAAGGATGATCTGTGTCTTACAGAGGAAGACAGAGAGGTGAGGAAGCCCAAAGTTCCATCCATGTTCTCTTGGTCAATAGGGGGTGCAGCCAAACTCTGAATCCAGGACCAGCTGACCCCAAAGCCTGGCTGCCCCTCCCTGAGGCAGTTCTTGTAGTGATGGGGACCAAAGAGTGCTTTTCAATATTCCAAGAAGCCAGATGGGGTTAACTGTTTGCCCACAGGACGGCCACCCACGAGGCCAGGAGCTGGCTCTGAGCTGGAACCATGTCAGCTCAGAGGA